CTTTTGAATTCTTATGTTTGAAGAACAGATACATTAGCTGTGAGCATTCGCGATAGCTGTTTGTTTAGGTCTTTTAAGTGTTTTTAAGTAACTAATAATCACCTAAAGTTTCTTTAACCTCTAAATAAGTAAATCTTAATTTGGAGTACAGTTTGGAGCCCATATAAATCTCACAGCATGGACAAAAAGCCTTGACAATGGCGCATTCGCAAAAAGACGCGCAAAAACCTGATGTTTGATTTTACAATGAAATTACAATTATACTTCAGTCTACCTGAATACCAATTTTCAAGTATTCTAAAGCCTTTATTGTTATCGAATGACACAGCAGAAGGTGCAGATGCATCTATTGTACAGCTAGTTTGCCCAAAAGAAACAGAAAAAAAAAAATTAAAAATCATAACTATTACCCCCACTCGTTCCCACCGCTGCAACTCCTGTGTAGCCAGGATCTACAGCTTGACCGCCAATAAAACCCAACCAGTGAAGGTCAAGTTTGTCCCGGGGGAAAAAAGTTAACTTAAGCAGAAACATGAAGTTAATTTTGCGAACAAAATAGCGACTAGAGCAACACGTAACTGCAACGCAAACAATCGTGAAGATCGTATTTATCCTCGCTCTATGGTCGGTCACGAACTTCATCGTCACAGACGGTTATTACTAGAATTGGATTATTATGTTTGCACACCGTTTTCTATGTAGTTGAGTTATTGTGAACTAGTAATTGAATTTGTTGAAAAATTCCACAGCTCTAAAGTGAGACGTTAATGTTTCTATCTTTTGGAAAACGGTACCCTTATCAATGCTTCGTTCTGTAAGGTTAGTTACCTACTGTAAGTGTAACAATTAGGTCAATTTTATCTATGTTACACTTTATAGTACGGACAACATGGCAAACTAAACACTGCGACATGTTATGTACCTAGTTGTGAAAAGGGACTAAATTATGCATCAAAAATGTAGTCTGATATGCTGTTTTCGATTAACTGTATTAAATAAAACAAAAATAAAGTTTGCGCAACAATTTCATCCACATTCTCATGAGCATCATCAAGGATTTCGCTCTGATAAAGTAAAGGTCAACAGTAACTTATTTAAAGAATTTTCCCACGATTTAGTGCTTAAGGAAAACCGCAAAATTGTCCGTTACCTTTTTACAGGTTCAAATTCCTGGTAAAATTACGAAGGCGTGTGTTCTTCTTTATTATGTCAGTTAGTAATAACTGCCACATCTTTAGATCTGAATATTAGGAGTTAGACAATCTAGCTAGACTCAAAAAGTGGAAAATTTTCGAGGCTAGCAAAGCAGATATAAGAAAAATCATCGATAATTATAATTCTACTGAAGAAGTTCAGTTAAACTGTTAAACCTAAACACGTAGGTAAGGTTAAGAAACAAAAGACAAATCAGCATTCTCTCAATGCACACACGTCATCAAAATTAGCTCATAATGGAGAAGACACACCAGTCTTAATAATACAATAACTCAGCAATGTGATTGTCAATAGGTATCTGTTTTATTTCGATAAAAACAATAAAGGAGGAAACTTTGTAAGTAAAGTAAACGAGTAAAGACGCGGTCGGGAAGCTATGTCTGGATAATTTGCAAGAATTTGAAAAAACAAACAACCAAAATTGTCCACGCGAGCGAAGCCACTGTTGGAAAGCTAGTATGCTACAAAACCGTTAAACAAAATTAAAATCAGTTCAGTAATTTTCAAAGAAATTGACGTAAAATTATAAACGATTTGGATTTTAACTTGCCAACGTAATCCTTATTAAATGTAATTGATGATTCTGTAATATGATAGGTTAGGTACTAATTAGCTATGACTTGTTAGTTGCCTACTATACGAAGCAATTAATCCTATGTTTTGTTTTTATAATCACTTGATTAAAACACCACCTTTCATGAAAGTGAAAGAGGTAACTGTAAAACTCGAACATGCGAATAATCTAATTAGAATTAAATTCATTAAGGCCCAGTTTTTTTATTCATAGTTAAAATAACTATTTGTAAAATTTTGCTACTAATGGTTAATTATTAACAAAATGTTAACGAATGGTTAAAACATTTACTAAAAGTCAAGCTAACCATTATTCGAAAAACATTTTTTTCTGATGTTTAACCACTTGTCATTTGACATCTGTCAAACTTAACTAGTGTGTGGGATATGAAGTTCGTCCACAATAAGGAAGCTAGATGTTAGTGCTTCCTTCCGAGCGGGTGTTGTGCTCGGGGACCAAGGTCCAATTTACACCATCTTGGTTTGTCTATATATACTTTGGCAGGATCTAAAACTCCGTCACCGCGATGCAGGTTTGTATGAGCGGCGGAGTGTGCCATAGTGAAGTAGTGATAGCGCCATCTGTTGGTCACTAGTTTGTAGTGGCGTCGCCACACCACTCCCCCCGGAAGAACCGGAGGTGGATGACGTCAGGATGAGCTCAGCAGTCTGTGCGTGATGAGCTTACAAGTGCCAGTGTGCTCAAGTCTGCGGTGAGTCGAGACGAGCACGTTGCGGTGCTCTATCCACGGTGAGTCGGGATAGTGAGCGGAGGCGTCTTCGATGGTCGGGCGTGGAGCTGGGCCAGAGCTGTACCCGTGACCAGTGAAGTGACGGTTGCTTGCTGCCGAGGAACCAGGAAGGTCGGTTGCGATCTGCGATGGTCCCTGAAGGCTGGATGCTGGCTTGTTGAAGACTGGAGCTGATGACGGAGTGGCGGAGATGGTGAGGATGGAAGGTCACGTTCCAATCACGTCGGGGTCACCAATGTGGGATATGAAGTTCGTCCACAATAAGGAAGCTAGATGTTAGTGCTTCCTTCCGAGCGGGTGTTGTGCTCGGGGACCAAGGTCCAATTTACACCATCTTGGTTTGTCTATATATACTTTGGCAGGATCTAAAACTCCGTCACCGCGATGCAGGTTTGTATGAAGCGGCGGAGTGTGCCATAGTGAAGTAGTGATAGCGCCATCTGTTGGTCACTAGTTTGTAGTGGCGTCGCCACAAGTGGTTATTTTAACTACGAATCAAAAAACTGGGCCTTAGGTAGGATATAAGTAATAATGCTGATCAGGAAGATTATTAACTATTATTTTTGCTAAAGGGCCATTTAGAATCTGTTAAGAATTTTCCGGATTGCATACCACAAATTTTTCGGAAAATTCTAAAAACGAAATTGTCAATGATGACACTGTGGTAACTGGCAACTTATATGGTTGTGATAGTTACTAATTTACAACAAAAAATAATTATAGTGTGATGTGCTGTAGAAGAAATCCATTAGCCACTTGTCCGCTTTCGCCAAAATGAAATGATAAATCCAAGAGACCCAATTTGCTATGACTGGTACCACCAGGTACCTGATAATTGCTTTTGACACAGTGCAAGTCTTACATGACTAATGAGTGAAGTTTAGAATGGAGTTTAATCTATGAAACACGTTTTTGTGAAGACACAAATGTATAAGAGCACCAGACATAAACTGTTGACTTTGAAACCGTATTGTCTTGAAATAAGATGATGTCTGTAAAACCGTTACGCTTGACGTGCCTAGAGTCCACTGATAAAAGATACTTGATTAAAAGTCAACAACCGAGTCCGAAAATTACCCATAAAGAGAGAGAAAGAGAGAGTTTTATAAACAAATCGAACTGCCTAAGGCCGGAATCGAACCCACGATTTAGTTTGAGAAGCGACTCTATTCTCTAAGAAATTTTAATAAAGAGAGAGAGAGTTGTTTTGAACATTTTAAAGAAGTTCTTTGAATTGACAAATTGACCTTTAAGAAGGTTTTGTCCTACTTAGATCCGTGGTGTGGGAGGAAGACAACTAACCATTCATTCAGGCATTTCATAATACGGACATAAAGTTTAAGTAATGTCTAAGCTAGCCAGACATCAATTCGAAACGGATGAGGTTGTATTGTCTACGCTTTTGTCGAAATGCAAAATTGAGGCTTTTGTAACTGTGTCACTTCTGGAACATGATTCGTTCCAGAAGAATATGCCAATGCTTCAGTCTGTGTCATCAATACATCACTTGGTTCTGTTCCACTTGTGTTACAATACAAGTACCTACAGTGATTAGAAAAACTTCAGTGCTTTATTAATTTTTCTAAGCGTGTGAACATAATGATACTAATTCCATTTTATTAATGTTTAATCTTTCTTTAGCACCACCATAATGTTCTATGAGTATAACTAGCTATAAAAAGACAATTACAGCTGTTTCTTTTATGGTTTATGTGACAGGTCTAATTATTGTATTGTTATAACTTCACTAGCCTCAGTTTATGATATCTAACAATGTTGAATCATTCAAATAAAGTTCAAACATTAGTTTTAGAAGTCGCATTGTTGTAATTTTTCCTGTGACCTGTGGGCTGAGTGCGAGTTTAAATCAAACGTCCTCAACTAGTGAGCGCGTTAAAAAAATGTATGAAAATTTTAGTTCTTGACGTTTCCGCTAGGGGCGCTGTACAATCCGTCGTACATTTAATGTCGTTTAATGTGAACTCACACAAGGCCCTCTGTCCTCTTGCTTTGTGCTGTCCTCATCCAGGCGCTTCCGACCTTCACCAGATCGTCATAAACACTAGACCGGTCAAGTAGACTTATTTTTTTTAAATGAACTTATCTCGCTGAAGCACTTAGAGCGCTACCACAACGCGCTACGCAAGATTTTGCAAACTTCAGGTAGTAGATATACGAGTATAACTGTGCGTATACTGCGTAATGAAATGCACGGTGTAGAAATATGGGTATTACTAGCTTTTGTCCGCGACTTCACCTGCGTGAAATTTAGTTTGTCACAGATCATCATAAATTACAGCCTATATGTTATACTGGATTATAAACTATAATACTGTAAAGTTTCATCAAAATCCGATCAGTAGTTTTTGCGTTAAATGAGTAACAAACATTTAGACATCCATACAAACTTTCGCATTTATAATATTAGTAAGATAGTAAGATTCAATGAAAATTTCTTACCTTAACATCAATAAGCCTGACAGCGAAGGCAGCAGCGTCAGGCGCCGTCAGCTTCAGCTGGCAGGGGGTGTTCCCCGCGGCAGAGGGGGGGCGGACCAACGCCAGCGCGAGCGCTGCGCCCGCGCCGACCCCGCTCCCCACCTCCACCTCTTTGGTGCGCCCGCATAGCAGGCTCGAGCAGAGCCCTGGAACAAGGAAACGAATGATCATCATCACCAGAAGTTATGGCAGTCCACTGCCTAAGAGTAGGCGCACACCGTTGATATTTCGTCGGCCGATAGTTTAGTCGGGCAGTTGATCAGTATGGGCATGCCGATTCGATTTGGCCGATTCTTCATACAAATTAAAATCGGGCACAACTATCGGCCAACTAAAAATCAACGGTGTGCGCCTACTCTAATACTAGCTAGCAGGAGCTAGCGGATGACAGGTGAAATACCTTTGTTTGTCACCCGTCATACGCTTTGCAATGGAGACAAGTCGAACCTTAATAAATTACGAACTCTTCCTATGTTCTTCTTCTAATTTTGTTGCGGGTCCAATGACAGTTAACTTCCCCCGGGACAAACTTGACCTTAACTGGTTGGGTTTTTATTAGCGGTCAAGCTGTAGATCCTGGCTACACAGGAGTTGCAGTGGTAGGAACGAGAGGTGGGAATAGTCCCGTAACACTAGCTAGCAGTGAACGTAGTCTCTACGTCGTAGAGCATAGACTCAAACAATAATTAATATGTGCCATTTTGCCCTGAATTCGGGTCGCATTCGCTTCTGTTAACGACTTTTAAACCTTACGCTAGTCGTCACTCCATCTACCTACCCAGATAGAGAGCGACCCTAAGACATTTCAAACAGCGTGAGGACTTCACATCTAATTTGTGCTCGAACTAAAAAAGGCTTGTACTATCGGTACCAGACAACGGATTGTAGGTTACACATAATACGCGTAGTCACAGAAAACAAACAGATCGAACCCGCAACCTCTTCAGTAGACCCAAAAATCAAAGTTGACCGCATTGCGAGTTGCTAAACAAGTGTAACTAAAATAAAACAATTACTTCTAAAGATCGTCATAGTAATTGATATCGTCATAGGTAAGTAAACACCGTACAATACTAGCAGACGTAACGTAAAAGTAAATATTGACATGGATTCAACTCCAAAGTATACTCAAGAACAGTTTTCGTTGAAACTAAAGCTAGCATTTAGGTATTTACACATTGTTTGTGAAGCATTCCGTAGGAACCTAACATAGATAGTTAATGACATAATAAACACACTATTAAAAACTTGTTAAAATTATTATAGAGATATGACCATCATCAACAAATTCGAGAGCAACATTGATAAATATAGACAGCTGTCGTAAATAAAAATATTAATACCTACCTAAGAAATAACTTCTAAAGCATTTTACGCTACTTGGAAACGTAATGAAAGACGAATCACACGAAACAAAGCAAACGTCAGTACGGACGACGGTAGATCAAGGTAACTCTGTGGCATCATAAAACACTGTAGCATCTTTGTACCTACTTGTAATAGATGCTATTTTCCAACAAATTCTAGTCCGATGTGCTGTTTTTAATTGATTTTCCAATAATCAATTTAAGCTTCAAATTAATGAACTTTCAAATGGATGAGTCGAATTACAAAGCAACAAAGTACAAATCGGTCGATTACATAAGCGCTCGTAGATTCTGATTCCGGAATCGGCAAATATGGAAAGTTAGTAGACTCTAACAAATAACACTTAGAGTGGACTTGACAAATGACGACGAGGAATTTACATCATCAATATTTATAAATATCTTATTTTTCTTGTCCTTCAAGCTTTCGAGTGTATTGAAATTTTAAACTACTAGAAACTTTGGGCTTAAAGACACCTTACTTACTGGTAAAAGATTTCCCAGGTCCGAAATATTTCAGGAATGGTGGGAATATCGGGAATAAGACGTTGTCAGAAAGAAGGGCCTTAGGTAACGTAAGATGTTTCCGGGAAGTTTCTCCAAATTGGAACAGTTCAAGATTTCTAAGAACTAAAAGGTTCTGTAGACCCAAAATCAATGACACTTGGTCGTTTCGTCTATCAGAATCACATCCAAGAATAGATTTTAATATACCTCAGAATATTAATTTTTCTGCGCCTTTTGAGAGTCAAAAAAGATATTGATCCACGAACATCGATGATTACGGACTTTTATATTCTTATCTTTTTAAGTATGTATTAATTTGTAGGTTTTAATATTTATTTATTAGAGAATAAATTTTATAATATTACATTAACTTAAAATGACTAAAAACTAAAATTTAAAAATTACTAATGATAAAAACTATTTACAAAATAAATTTGTAGGTTAAAATATTATAATACACATTTAAAAAGAATTAATCTTTTATACACGTGGCCAGTCTTATCGCCTAAAATATTTGGTTTTAATATCGCTAATAATTATTTTTATGGCAGAAGGCTGTGTCGATGTGACTTGATTTAAAATACTACTTTTTTACCTTATCCTCCAATATTTGCGAAGTATTTGTTTAATTTAAAATTCCATTGTTGTGGTAGATCTTGTTTGCTATTCAAAAATGGTGCGTCTGAATGAATTTAAATGAATGAAACACATAATGTCAGTCAGTATGTTCAGCTGTTTTTGAAATCATTTGCTTGCACTGGTCGACAAGTGTTGAAATATTACTAGCTTAGTACAGTGAGAAACAGAAGTGGATCAACAAAAATTTTCAGTTGACTTTCAATCCTAGATTGTCTAACCGGAGCTGTGAATCTTTTACTTGTTTAAACTCCAACTCCTCCAAGGATGCTAGTTGCTTCTAAGTTTCATGCTTTTGATCTATGTTGACTGTACCAATGTTTGGAGCTTCCATTTCACAATTTACGATAATAAAATCATATCCCAATTCCCATCCCATTACGTCCCCCTTTTTTTACTTGTAGTTTATTAGGTATAAATTCTCTAATTCTTCTTCTATCTTGTGATTTTTTGACGCACTAGCTACTCTCGAGACTCTCGACTTTAATAAACGCTTCTAAAATCTGAACCAGGCCTAGGTTTGTGTTTGCGAGTGTACTTAAAACGTCAAAAACAATATTATCATCTACTTTACCTGAAACTTAAACGATGTCCATTGTTCCAAATGTTTGAATGATCCCAAAAATTACATGTCTTTGACAATTTGTCATTGATTTAAACGATTCTCCTGTCTTCCGTTATTATCAAAGAATATTATTATTACTAACATTATCTAAATTGCTTTAGACATTACCACTAATTACGTAATTTAACCTGTTTTGAAAGTATTTAGTTGACGTTTTAGTTTGGTACAGGGTATTTTGGTTTATTTTGTTATTAAATATTATTATGTTCTATCTCTTTTATGTTCTGTGAGTTTACGATAAGTGTGCTCGCTAGCGAGTACGTCAAAAATCTCTATGAAAATTTTGTTTCTTGAAAGTAGCCGCTAGGGGCGCTGAACAATATGTCATACAAGTAATGTCATTTTTTTACGCAGTCGCTAGCGAGCACACCTAACGTAAACTCATGGTAAGCACACTGATTATGTTACGTGCATAGACAGACATCGAATAACAAACTATTATTATGATGATAATTTAAAATTCAACATAAAAAATAACCTTGAGACTCTACTTAAAATCAAACATTGGATTTTTGACAGGGGTGTCCCCCGAGTATTTCTAGTAGTTCACTTCTGAATCGACTATTATGTACCTTAATATTTTTGCAATACTTATTTAAACAGCTGTCTTGGTTAAAGCATCATCTAGATTCTAGATCATTCCTTGTCATCATTTATAACTTAGGAGGTACTTATAGTAGAACCTCATGCGCAGTTCTATTTTTAGTCCACCTTGCGTAAGGCCTCTATAAAGCACATAACGATTAAGATGTATCATCGCTCGATAATCGAATCGATTAGGTAATAAACAACGCAGATTCGATTTATTACAACAACAAGATTGTTGTTAATGTCGTACCTACCTACGACGAGCAATTAACTTTAAAAGAAAAAAAAAATGTGCCAGTTCTCGAACAAAAACTTTGAATAGAGACTAATTTTTCTAGCAGTAAAGGGGAGGGTTTGCAAAGAGTATATTATATTCAGAAGCAAAGTTGTTTCTATCCGAGGTTTGACTAGGGCATTGTTTAGCCCGCTGAACGAATTAGGAGAAATTTTCGACCCAAGAGAATTAATCTTTCTCTCTTATGTGGCTTAGTTCTTTCGCATTTAGGAATATAATATGGATGTAGGTAATTGATGCATTGACGTGTGTAAATAACGATAGTGATCAGTCACAGTAATTGAATTAATATAGGATGATAGGGGGTTTGGAATGTCCAAGGTAACCTATTAGATAATCAAGACAATTAATTGATGGCGTGTTTATTTACAAATAATTGCGACTATTATTTTATAGTGACTATGACGTGACTAGGTAGGTAATTAGGTACCTTTATCTCGGTTGGAATAATTGAAAAAGACAGGATTAGCCTGATTGTAATTCATAGTCGCATAATATGGAGTCTGCTCGTTTGCCTCCTGTCACATAAAAAACAAATTAAAGTGTCCGAAATGTCTCATAACGCAGTAAGTACCTACGCTTTGATTTGATTTGATACTGCATTAGTTGTTACAAAAGGCGACAAGTTTGCGTAGGTAGGATATTTTAAGTTTTCCTAGTGACCTTTAAGGTCTTTGTCCTCATTTAATTTTCATACAAAAACAACTTATCGCTAAAATCGCAACACATTACTCATTGTTTTGTTACTCAACCACGCCTTTTACGAGGTCTACGAGGTATGCATCAGCAATTGATCCGTTTTCAATTCTTCGTTGCAGACTTGAATCTCAACTGCGACTGTACTATAGTAATTTATTGCATTCCGCTTAGGGTTGCCAGGTCCAAAAACACAAAAGCCGGACTCTGTGCTTCATTTGGCCGGACATTTTACCCTAAAAGCCGTGCAATTAGTGTCATAGCTCACGAGTGAGTACTATTATCATCATTATAATCGGTACCCCAACATCTTGATGCATGCGCTTGATATGCAGCAGCCACATAAAAAGCCTAACAATAGCCGGACAGGCCGGACGAGACAATATTTGGCCGGACAAGACCCCAAAAAGCCAAACATGTCCGGCTAAAGCC